ATTTATGCCTCATTATCTTTTAGTATATTTTTTGCGCCATTTTTGTGATTTTCCAAGTTTGTTCAAAAGGGACTGGGTTGAGATAAGAATACCCAGACCCTTGGCCGATAGAGTTGTGCGCATGTGTAGTGATGACATTAGAGGCGAGGCGGAAGAGGCAAAGATGGCGAAAAAGAGCTACGACTACCTCTTCAAACTGCTTCTTATAGGAGACTCTGGTGTCGGGAAAACATGTATACTGTTCAGATTTTCAGATGATGCTTTTAACACAACATTTATCTCGACAATAGGTAGGTTTGGTGTGTTTTKACKTGGTTGTTGCYGCGTGAATAACCTCTATGAAATATAAAGTCGTACTATTTGTTCATTCGAAAATAACTGCAAGAAATTATGGACGTCTTACTATTAATATATGCAATTGGGCTATTTCGGTTATTCCAGATATTTATTTCCAGTTGCTCGTTAAGTGTTACTGGAATAAAATGTAGTTAGGCTCTATGTTATGTTMGTTGTGGTGTAGTTGTGAAGAAATATTTGACGTGTACTTCGTTGCACACTTTCACTTCCGAATCCCTTTAGCGGCCATGGAACTAATGTTACGCAATTTATAATAACAAAATTAATTAGTTAAGTTTATCAAATGTGACTAACCTCAGTGAAAGTCCCGATGCTGCTCTTAAATTCTAAGAGCTTCAGTTAAGAAAATTAACTATTTAGGAACCAGATCAAACATATGACTAACGCCATAGGTATTCGTCAGTAAGATATATAAGCTTACTGTTTCAAACCCTTCTTGTTTCGTCTGATATTTAGCTTATAGTATAAGTTAATCATAGGTAGACTTTCCAKTGGATCGAGTTAAATTATACTGTAATACACAAATCAAATTTATTTCGGCGCCACGGATCAGTCGTCTGCATGGATCAGTACTTTGAACTCTTATCTGCTTGTCTGTACGTGCACAGTTCGTTTTGCTTATTTTAGTTTCTTAGTTATTGGTTTTTGATTTTRACTTTTGAGCCTCAATAAGTATCTACTTAATCCATTTGTTGTCATTAACGTTGTTAATAATGAGGAAACATTAATTTGCTGATATTGCAGAACTTATTTTTAGATTATTACAATGMTGAAGATGGTGCAGTTTTGTTGTTCTGCATCCGGTGCTTATGAAATAGTTTTCCAAATGGTTCAAAAGTCAACTTAGCATCAATTTAATTACAAGTTTCTCTGGTGATCTATCAGCAAATTTAGTGGCTATATATGTATTTTAATCAAAACTTACTATATAGGGGAGTTTTCCAAACTATTCTCAAACTTCCCTTTGATAAATGCATGAAATGCATGCTCATTGTGTGAAAAGTCTGTAACTAAAAGTATGATTGTTTGCTAAATAGGAATTGATTTCAAGATCAAGACCATTGAAATGCAGGGTAAAAAGATCAAGTTACAAATATGGTGAGTTGCCATGGTACTCCAGTTCAATACACATGTAAWGCAGGATTTCTTGAAAAAAACTGCTAATGTCCATCTYCTGATTTTTCCACGAGTTCTGTGAACTGAACAACCAAATTGTTTGCAAGCTATTTACAGTGAAATATGGGCATGCTTTCAAAAATATCACAGATGAATGTAGGAAACATCTTTTCAGGCAACTCAATTGTACTTTTTTCKTAGAAATACTTTTTTCCATATGTCGATAGACGTGCAATACATGTATTAACACTGTGGAAATTGTCTTTTAGAGCATTAGTTACAATGGATTTCAGCTTTKAAATTCATGCTTATTTTCTCAGGGATACTGCTGGACAAGAAAGATTCCACACTATAACTACATCATACTATAGAGGGGCTATGGTGAGTTAATGGTGATTCTTAACAATTCTCTGTACTAATTTAGTTCTTCCTTTTTTGTGAAAAACAGCATGGTCTGATGTTATCCAGTGGTACAATTAGTTTGTAGCAATGRCCATACACAAACTTGCTGTTCAATATTTTAAACACTGCTGGATAAGACTGAATTACTCTAAATTAACTTTTTAACAGTTTTAGTGCTTTACCCTTTATATTATCATATAATAATCTTTATTGATGCCTGTTTGATATGCCTGTTTAGGGTATAATGTTAGTGTATGACATAACACAAGAAAAGACATTTGATAACATTTCAAAGTGGCTGCGAAACATTGAAGAGGTAAGATTGTTTACAAGATTGTTACATAAGGATCATTATCKTTTAAGATTATCGTTTTTGTCCAATAAACTCCCTTATCAATATTAGTTTTCCATAAAAGTCTGCAGTTGCTGTGAATTTCGAAAAGTTATTCATAGCTTGACTGTAATGTAGTTTCACATGCATTCAAAAATGTTTGCAATCTTTTGTTTTGTTTTAATTGATACTATGATAAAATTTGCTTACTGATTGGTTCAAAATCAAATATGTCAATTTTTTGTATTTGATAAAACCATGCAAAGGTTATACAATGTCAGTGGGTCTTAAATTATTAAACAATAATGCTCTTTAAAAGACCAGTTTTTGATCTCATTGATTAATTAGCTAGTTCTGACACTGGTTAATTGATTGGAATGTTAATTATTGATCAATTGACTCAAATATTTTTATATATGTTCAATTAACACAGAATTTGATATCCTTTGTAGCATGCTAATGAAGATGTTGAAAAGATGATCCTTGGTAACAAATGTGATATGGATGACAGACGAATAGTGAGCAAAGAAAGAGGGGAACAGGTAGGTGCCACTGAATAAAAGATCACCCCATTTTATCTATCAACTTCCCACTATTTTTTCCTTCTGTCTTGCTTTGCTCTTCATTTGTCACATGTATTCAATTAATCTCAAACATTTTATCTCATTATTAATCATTTCATGATCTTCTCTCTCCAAATCTCTTCTTTCTTTTTTCTTCTATCCTGTTCACTTCTTCCAATGTCATACTTTTGGTCTTTTTAGATTGCTAGAGAACATAGCATCCGCTTTTTAGAAACAAGTGCAAAGACAAATGTCAATATTGAAAAGGCATTCCATGCTTTAGCTGAAGACATTCTTAGGAAACAACTCAGTAAAGACACTGAAGAACCATCCAACAATATTCATGTCACTGATCAAAAGGACAARAAAAGCTCAGGGTGTTGTTAAAAAATCATGCACACTTCATCATTCATCTGGATTTCAAGCTGCCATTTTATTGTGAACTCTGCAAAASTACTTTGAGATTCTCTGTTTTGAGTGCACTTTGTTGAAAGCCAGGATTCTCTCATATATACTGTATTGTCTGTCTAAATTAGAAAGAAATCCCAATTAGGGCAGGGGTAAATAGTGCCATTTGTAATGAAGAAAGAGATAATTTTGATTGTTGTCAGTGAGAATGTTTTTTGACTCACTTCTAATTGCAAAAATGTTGTCATAAAGATACACCTACTTGCAAAAATGTTGTCATAGAAAAAATAGGACATTTGTATTTAGTATAAAGGAATAAATTAAAAAGGCAAAAGAAGATMACTGAGGCTGAATGCTCTCTTTTGTCTTGTTTTAATTTTCTAAATTCAAATGTTTTCTATTACAAAGTTTCTACAAGTAGATGAATTAGTAAAAAGGAAATTCATAAAACTTGAGTTTTGTTAAATTTGGACATGGGTGGCTGTTTTTAAAAAGTAATCATAATATGTAAATCTTAAGGGGCACCAAGCCTACTCATTGCGACTTTTTTTCATGTATTCCTTTATGCTATGGTAAAGAGTGAATGTTCTCTAGGTCCATGCATGACAGCATTTTCTGCAGTTAGTTGCAGACTCAGTTATAGCATTTGAGTTATACAATATTTTGTTGGACCACAAGGAAAGAAACTCTTATAAGGTTGATGGTATGATTATAAACATTAGGAAGGATGGGTATGAATTTTGAGGACTTGGAAATATATCAAGTTAAAATTAGTTATCCACAGACTTGTYCCTTTCATCTTTATGAAATCTCTTACATATTACTTTCATCTGAAGTTGTGTTTATTTTGTAATTTAATTTTTATGTAGTACCCAAATGATATCTTAAACTCTGTAGCTATCTTATCCTCATAGTTATAACATCTATATACATGTAATTAGGTAAAATAGTCAAAACCCTTGTTGTAATCTAAAATAATTTATGCACCACAGGTAGCCTAATAGTTTCCAGCTACAAGTTGGGAACTTTCATAAATCTAGGGTTTTCTCTGATGTGGGTGCATTCACTTTGTATTAAAATTGACAGATTTATATTTCCATATTAAAGTAGTTAATGAGTTAGTATTTAGACTATTACAATGTGTGATGGGATATATTGCTGCCTTGTTTCSATGATTGTTACTGGACATGCTTGAGAACCATCGTTCTGAATTTGTTATGGTACAAGATAAAGTTATTGTTTTTTTAATAAAAGGTTCTTCACTGATATGTGGGTTGTCACAAGGAAAGGATTTGTACCAGTTGTCCTCTTACCTTTTATCCCTGTTTCCTTTTTTTATTTATTTGTTTGTTTGTTTTTATWTTCAATGGGTCTCCATCTTCAGACAAAGGGATCCCGATGATTTGAAAGACTGCAAATATTATATGGGATGACATGCACAGCAGAAGGCGTTCCGAAGCGAGGAGCTGAATTTTACATGACTAGGGTTTTTCAGAGATTGGACTTGTGTATAGCGAAAAAAATCGAGTCTCYGAGGCTTTAAAATCTACRAAGCCAATTTTGCGAGACCTGGATTTTTAAAAAGATCGTTCACCACCGATCCTAAGGTGACTAATSRCCTTTCTCAACGGTCATGCTTGTTCTTTTGCTATTGCTTACTTCTTCTTTCTTTCTCGTTTGTTTCTTTTTTATTCCTTTGTTTTTCTTTCTTTTTTCCTTACTTTCTTCCTAGTTTCTTTCTCCCTTACTTTCTCTCTTTAGTTTCTTTTCTTCTTCCCTATCTTTTCATGTTCCTGCATTTGTCACTTGTTTTTGATATCCTTTTTGCTTTTCTCCTTTTGTCGCTTTTCTTTTCTTTTCTTTTCTTATCTTTTCTTTTCTTTTCTCTTCTTTTCTTTTCTTTTCTTTTCTCTTCTTTTCTTTTCTCTTCTTTTCTCTTCTTTTCTTTTCTCTTCTCTTCTTTTCTCTTCTCTTCTTTTCTCTTCTCTTCTTTTCTCTTCTCTTCTTTTCTCTTCTCTTCTTTTCTCTTCTCTTCTTTTCTCTTCTCTTCTTTTCTTTTCTCTTCTCTTCTTTTCTCTTCTTTTCTTTTCTCTTCTTTTATTTTATTTTATTTTATTTTATCTTATTTTATTTTATTTTATTTTCTAGTAGCCACGCACAATTTGCAAAAAATGTTTAATTTCTTCTCTTCTAAGTAATATTCACTTACATAGTAATCGCCTCAAGCTCTCTGGGTGGGAAGGCGAGACTAATCCCTCCCCCTATCTAGTTACCAATCTTTCCTTGTGACTAAGCAGCAGTTCCAGCTGGAGAAAGGGGGGATGTGGATGGCGACCTTAAATATAGTAGTCCGAATCCTCCGTGCGGGTCGGAGTCGACACTGGCAAAACATGACGTCACTACGATGACCGGTTTCCAGTTAGCCAATTAGGGGAGTCATGCGTGTAACCGTTAAGTCTTGACCAGCCTTGGYGATCACGTTTCTTATATCGATAATGTATGCAATTGCATTTGTGTGAAGTTTCTTCAGCGGATTCATTTTTAGGTCAGAGAAGTGAACCGGTGACCAACAGTGTGTGTGGTAAAACTTCAAGATCAAATAACAAATAAACTACTTGACTCTTAATGCATTGTGTACCATTAGTTATTTATACTWCGATTCAGCACTGAAAGAATTTCCTTACACATTTTCATAATAATACATTCAATCATTGACAAATTGCGAGCTGGTGAATGACTTCCGGTTGCCAAAACCGAAGACGGAAATGCGACGCATACATTCGCGCCCAATTACCCAGCATGCTTTTCGASCTTTGTTATCTCCGCCATATTGAGTCTCGCACACAAGGAGGGAAAAATAACTTTTCGAACTGCTGGCAAAATTTGTTTTTTCTTTCTGTTTGTTCTTTTGGTTTTGATTCACATAGATTAGAGACCTTTACCTGGAAGTGTACAAAGAAGCAGACTGCTCATTCTCGTTGTATCACTTGAAAATACAGACTTATGGATATTTAGTCAGGGACATAAAAATTCAAGTCAGAAACGAACGGAAGTCGCCAAAGTTTTTTCTTTCCCAGGCGAAAGGTGCTGCTCATCGTCATCAGTCATTAACTAAACGGGCTTCATGGAACATTGAGGGCTCATAAATGGAAATATGGCATGAAAATTAAAGAAACAGTGTGATATAGCAAGGGATTTAGTAATATGTCGCGAAATAGTAAAAGGCATAGCTCGAACCGTGGTTCAACAGGATCGGAAATCGCTCGCTCCACTCTTAAAGTTTTTCTTTCAAATGGCGATTCAAGATCTGTTAAATGTGGTGAAGCTACTGACATAAAGGTAAGATATTATGAATAAAAACACCTTCGTAATGTTGGTGATTTGCATTTTAATTGTAGTTGAACAGTAGGAGATCTTTATGTTCTAAATGGAGCAGTCTTCAAATTCAAATATTTCAGTTCTTCCATCGTGCGCTGTAAACGAGGAAGAAAACTTTGTTTTTAGCATAGTTGAATATTTCTGATTCAGACCTGATTTAGATTTATAGTATTGTAAAGGAATGTTTCASCAATGCTAAGATATTTAATTTAATAACAGCTTATTTGCATGTAAAATAAATATAACAGAAGTACTCCTATTTGTCAATTTAGCCATTCGGTCATAAACTTCTCCAAGCTGTGTTCTTTTAAGTGTTCTCTACTTTCGAATAATGTTATAATACTGTTTTTACAAGCAATTCTATCTAGACTTTAGACTTTGAAAGAAAGCTTCAAACACGAAAACAAACCAGCAGTTTGTTGTGCTTGTGATCAGCTTCTCACTTTCCCATAACTTATAAATATAAAACACTTAGAATTACAAAGTTTTATAATCTAAATTAAGTCTCGGTTTGTTTAGATTTTATTCCTTTATCCTAAAATKCCCTGGTTTGTGTTTGTGCAACACAAAGAAGATAACAATCTAAGTCGAAATATTCAGAGGAATAAGCTTGCTTTGTTTTTTCTTTCACGCAACTATGTAAAGCTGTTTTCATGCTAAGGTAATTTGTGGTTTTGTAAAGCTCTGTCAGCTGAGGTGTTGTCGTTTTTCATTCATTTAAGTTTGTGTCCGTCATTGCTGTTCGCCGTGTCTGGCWGGGCCAGCTTGAAAACGTTGAGTTAGAGGTTTCCGACTTGACCCTTTTCCAGTCTCGTGATTCACTGTCTTAGACTTTTCTTGGGAAGTCATATCTATAAGGTCATCGAGGTACATGAAGCTATGTGTTTGAGTTTCACATATTCTGATTTCCATGGGGTTTTTAAGCTTTTCTCCCTAGAAACTACATTACATGTTGTACTTTCATTGAAATTTAGCTGTGATAAATAAGAATACTTCAGCATAGAAAACATCAATTATTTTTTCACATTTTTAATGTCACATATTTGATTACTTTTCCGTTTCCTCAGAACTTCATTTCAATTAATTATGAGCAATACTTTCACCTTGCTGTGAAGTTTCTATTCCAGAGTAGTTTATTTTTAGATGCAATATTTTTCTATGAAAAAATATATATATTGATAAGATATTGATAAGATTATTGATATTGCTCATAATGTATAACTGAGTGTTTGCCAGCATCACTAAAAATATATRACACAACACACACAGCAACAATAAAAACTAATCGCGACAATGCAGCAGGAGTTGCCGTAAGTGGATGTATAGATATATAAATTGATAAAGGAGAAGAATAAATAAAAATGAAATAATCATACTATAATATAGGAAAAAAAACATAAAAAAATTTGAAATAGTACGTACATGATTGTGTTGCATTTCTGTAATCCATCAATTATCCTACATGCATTAGTCACATAAGGTGGATTCCAAAAAAAAGAGAAGAAAAGAAAAGAAAGAAAGAAGAAAATAAGAAAGGGAAAAAAGTAGATGTTCTTCCCCTCTCCCCCCCCCCCCCCCCCCCCCCAAAACAAAAAAAAAACAAAAAAAATAAATAAATAAAAAAGGAAAAAACAGATGTTCTCCTATCTCCTATCAAGCATCATGATACTCCAATTTGCACTTCCGCAAACCAGAAATGAATATTAGCTTTTCTTTGCATCTAGAACAATCATTTTCTGGTAYCTAACTTTGCAGACACTGTCTTGCTTGTACAATAATAATTATTATTATCAGATGATTATTATTCCCCATGATACTTTCACTAGATGACATCACATTTAGTAGGTTTAAACTACCTATATCTTGTTTATAGGGCATTGTACACCTTGTGATTGGTAGCCTTGGAGCCGATCCTATTGTTATTGGTGATCATTATGGTATCATGCTTCAGCATGTCAACAGTGACGAGTCATTTTGGTTGAACTGTAAGTCTACTGTGGCAGAAGTGCGTGGTAAACATGAGGCTCTTTATCCAGCAGATGAGTGGAAGTAAGTTGAGAACATAATAATTTGATATTGTGAAACTATATAGCTGTTAACATGACGAAGTTATCGTTTTCATTTATTCTGCCTTATGCCTTAGGTTTGTTTAATCAGATCCTAAATTTTGTTAGCAGAATTTCTTAATTCAATAAACATTGTACTTGACCTGGAGTTATTTTGGGATTAGTACCTTCCCTGTAGCATATTGAAACATTCTATCAACAGTGATATCCTCCTTACCCACCATTAATAATTCAACTAATTTAATTATGAAATCTTTTTTTATTATGTGCTTGATTATTATATTAGAATAAAGTGCTTTAGATTTAGCAATATTGGTAGACTGTGTATTGATTGCTATATCAAGCAGAAGAATATAACATTTCCTTACAATTTGACCTATAAATGACATGTAGATCATTGAATTGGGTTCGGTCACACCTAGTGTCTCAATTTCACGTGTGAATACAGTTATATCATCAAGTTATGATTTAGGTGTGGCTAAGTTCTACTCCAAAGAGTTAATACAGTATATAATATTCAATGCATTCGCACAATACTTCATAATTTATTTACTTTTTGATATTTTATTATTTTTGTTCTAAGGTACTTGTTGAGAGTCAGGTATCTTCCCGTTAGCTACAAGGAATTGTACCAAACAGATAAAGTCACTTTTTTCTATTTTTATGATCAGGTAAAAAAAATTTGTATATCATGCAATTTCATGCATTTAGATTCTTTTGCACGTAAGTTTAGTTTTGTTTAACTAATTGTTTTTTATTGTATTTCTTGAGCTTGATAATTGATGATATTAATGATTAATTAATGATTGTTTTCAGGTCAAAAATGACTATCTTCAACATAAGAGTGATACTCATGATCATGAAACTGCATTTAGATTAGGAGCACTAGAAATGCGGTATGTAGTTGCTTACATTCAATAGTTCAATTCTAACCGATGATAATGATGATGATAAATATAATATTTCTTTACAGACGTTACTTCAAGGATATGCCACAAATTGCACTTGACAAGAAATCTAATTTTGAATATATAGAGTAAGTCTTAAATTATTGTGATTTGAATTTGACAGAATGTTATATTTCAATTTTCACAATGAAAAGATGTTTATCAAATAATTTATATTCAATTTCACAATTTTCAGGAAAGAAGTAGGGCTTACCAAATTCATTCCTAAAGTAGTTTTAGACAACATGAAGGTAAGGTTGATTTGTTGTCATTCATGTAATCAAGCATGATAATAAAAACATAATTTGCAAAGATATTTAGTGACTGAGGCTGGTAGTACAAATGGAGAATAATTGCTATGTATAACATCCATGCAAAATCAATGAAGTGAATAACTTTATCTGGTGAATGAGTTCACACACTCTTGGTACGACTGGACACTTACAGCAGACGAATTCATAGATAGAGGAAATAGTTAAATGTATATAATACAAACAAATGCAGCAAGCATGTTTACTTAAGTAATACGCTGATTTACTGACAGTTTAAAGAGTGAGTGCCTCATGAATGAAGTATATTTCTTGGACTGTTTATATATAAAGAGTGAATAGCACTAGTCACTGGATAATCCTTATCTAGCAGATAAAGAAAAATCTACAGAGTAGATAAATTTAACAAGTGGATAAGTTTATTAACCTCTTGTACAAAGATACCTGATTATTAGCCACTATGGACAACATTGACCCTAAAAGTGGCAATTTATCTTGTAGTCACCTATACTACCCTGAGTGAGTGGTGGGTGGGAGCAGAAAATATCATACACACATCCTCAATCTGTGCAATTGAGTATCGTAATCAATGACCATCACTGACTATTGTAGCTTAGGAGGCAACAGATTACTACAGACTGCTGACCAGCATCACAGAGGTCAAGCAGTCTTGTCTGTTAATCCAGAGGATCTATAGTCACTGCATTGAGTTTAAGCTATAAAGCCTATTAGGTTGCATGCAGAAGTTTCTCCTGTAAAGCCCAAGCTTGATTGACAGCATATGACCATTGATAGTTTATAATATGGCTTTCATTGCTTTTCTGCATCAGCAGTCTGCAATGAGGAATAATCATTGGAAATACAGACTGATGATATTAATTAAATTGAACAATGATTAAAACAATCATATTGGGGGAAAAAATTGATATAAATTGTCTGGTGGATATACCTGGCTCTGTAACTGACATTGTCAATTGACATTATATATTYCCATATCTAGTCCAAAGTCCTGCGTAAAACCATTCATGGCTACTTCAAACAATATGCMAGTCTGACTGAAGAGGAATGTTGCTGTAAATTTTTTGATCTGTTATCTCAAATTTATCGATTTGATGTGGAAACCTTCAAATGCTCATTAGGGGTGAGTAGCCATTGTTAGCCACACTATTTAAGAAATATAAAACGGCGCAAGTGTCTCTGTCCTCTGAAGAGGGAGTTCGAAAAACACTCGAGAAGCAAGCTTAGGAACACAAGCATAGCAAGTGTTTCTCTTGCTTCTCTTGCTTATAGAGGTGCACTTAAATACACTATGTACAGTCTTCAAAAGTATAAAGGATACATACATGGACTTTTTAATTGATGTGAGGAAGTGTAGGATGATTGTATTCACGCTGAATTTCGTTTACAATAGCTGTTTCACTGAAAAAATGTAGTGTCAGTAGTTCTTTTTTAAAGTTTCTTTTTGGGGTTTTTGTGTGTACTATATTTGAATTATTCTTTTTTTTAAATTAAAGACTGGTTGGTCAATAGCTGTTGATGTAGTTATTGGACCTAAGGATGGCATTAGTTACAGGGCTGAACAGGGTTCCATTGTAAGTATAAAATATAATAAATCATTTACATTAATGCCTGTGCATAATGCTGTGGTGCATGATATATTCTTCTACTGCGTGCACATTACATCAGACAGTGTGGTTTAAGTTATTCTGCGTGTGGTCTTAGTGTTTCTCTTTTTTTCTGATAATATTTTGTTGTATTCTATTCTATTCTATCCCATTCCATTCTTTTCTAGTCATTATTGCATACCAATTATTGCTAATAACTTTTTGTACTTGATTYCAGATAACTCACATGGCCAGTTTTAACCAAATTCAGTCAATCTCAGTCACAAGGATACCACTTATTCCAACACCTGTACAGACAGACAAACAGAAAGCTACTGTCAGTTTGAAAGTCTCTGTTGCTGCTGAGGTATAAATATTTAACTGAAAAATTTGATAATAGACAAAAATATATTAAATTTGGCGTTACCAAAGAGTCTATTACACAAGTCATAACTGGTTAGTTTACTGCAATAAGATGTGATGTATGGTTATATATATTTTTCATTCATATATGTGTAGAATACTTTATAATAAATTCTAACAATATCTGATTATAATGACTCAAAGTGTTATTATGTGGTTATTTTATAGCCACTTGTATTTACAACATCCTCCATTGCCAAGGCTGAAGAAATGGCAGATCTAATTGACAATTACTGTATGATAATTGGTGGAAGCAATCATTCATTAGTTTTCAAAAGACTGGGTAAGATTTTAGTGTGGATTGTAAWMGTTTAATTTTAAACCAATTATTCATTTAATCTAGTTAAAGAGAACCGAAGAACAAGAAAGTAAATGAATATTATACAATTTACAGCGTTCGTGCTACTCCTTGAAATCCTTGAAAAGCACTGTGATTGAAATCTCATTTTTAAGGGCACTTGAAAAGTCCTTGAAAATATTGAGAAATGCTAAAACACAATCTATAGTTGTACAGTTTTTGATTGAAATTTGAAGAGGGTTATAGAAGTTTTTGCCGGAAATGTCTGGAAACATTAAAAAAGGCCCTTGAAATTGACTTTATTAAGCTTTTAAAAAAAGTAAAACAAACTCTGAATGTAGCGTACATTTTTATTAATTATTTTGTGATGGTCAATGCTGAAAATATGCAATGACTTGTATGTAATTTATGCTTGATATTTATGTCTTAGATCCAGACAGAACTCTTCCTTCAATCCCAAAAGAGGAGATAAAAAGGTAATAGGGTTTTCTCATTATATTGTTTGAAGTCAATGTGTTGTTTTTTCTTCATAAAGCTCTACATAGAATTAGCCTTGTCAAGCTAATACCAWTCTCTCTTTTTTCTTCTTGTTTACAGCATTTTTTTTTCTTTGCTGTGACCAAGTGTGAAAATATCATAAATAAACAAATAGGCAGGGAAAATACCAAAAACAAAATAACTAGTATACAATCACGTCATCAAAAGCAACACTGCTGCTGGTGCATGTTTAGTRGTAAATAAAAATGTGTCTTGGTTATAACATTACAGAGGAAAARCTCATTGAACGTCAATTTTGATTTTTTTCACAAGCGTTTGTTGTGAATTCAAAAGTAAATTACTAAGCTAAAGAGTGTGAATTTTTGAGGAGGACTTTTGTTTTCACTGTGTTTTCTTACCATGACATTAATCTTATCTTTATATTGTTTTTCTCAAGTTAGTTATGGTGCCTATATTTAATATATATTGTTCTTTGGCTGGTACTTTTGAAAAACTATTTTCTATATTGTGAGATGTAATACCGTGATTCAAAAAAAAGAATGAAAAACACTTCAAAGAGATTAATTATTTTTCATATAGGAAAGTGGAATAAAACTAAGAAAGAAAATGAGAAAAAAAAACAYAYACATTGTAAATGTCAACTAAATGTTTATACTTGATGGACTCACTTTCTTCAAATACCAAATTAGGCAAAATTGTGATTGGAGACTGAATTATTTAGGTTTTCACTATTTGCACAAATTCAAATTTAATTTGATCAAACATCCTCATTTTGATTACAAACAGAAATCCCTTTAAATATATATGTACATTGCCATATTCTAAAAACCACCTGTGCCAAAAATCTGTATGCCCAGATTTGAAGTCTTTATCTTATGATCAAGGATTCTTTTCAGAGTCTCTCTCATATCAGCACTTAAAGCAATTACTTTTTATAACACCAGATGATGGAACACTTAATCAGTGAATAGAACACTTGATCAATGGAATACCACTGGTAGAGCTAGCTATTTTGAAAGCACAGAACATTCATGTAATAATTGGGTTTAGATTTCAAGGAGCTCATAGTATAAATAATGATCAGAAAAAGTTTCTGTTGTTTGGGAACAAAAAGTCATATTTCATCAAACATACCTGGGTAAGGAGATTTTTAGGGAGATAATAATATTTTTTTGACAAAACTAAGTTCATTTTACTTATTAATTACTAGACTGTCTTTAGTAGGAAAACATTGTTTTAAGCACACATTGTGTACAAAAGCATCAAAATATACATTTATGTAGCTACCGAAAAAGCTGTGTATTCTTATAGATAAGAAAGTAATAATACTATTTTGAAGTAATTAGAATATTTTTAACAATCAGCATTTTAGCGTGTATTTTTTTTCTATTTTGTACAGCATTCAACTATTTAGATGACTTGTGTAATTTTGATGAAGGCTTTTCTAGAGGATTTGATTTGACTTTCATAGAATTATTTCTTAGTTTTTAATCAATGTTTGTCAWTCTTTTTCATGTTCTGATCTAAAATATATCTTTAATTTGTAATCAATCATGCAACAGTGGATTTTCAATGTAATGTCTCAGTACATCCACTGGTATCTGTCAACATCCTACAATCCTGTACAAAAATAGTTGAGAATTTTGAATCAAATTGTTAAATATTATAATTGGTCTCCACATCATTTCTATATTTTCTGGCATCCTTTCAACCCCCCTCACTCAAAGTTGTGTTTCAGAGTTCATACAAACCTGCTGGATACTCTTTGGGTGTTGACAACATTGCTTTGATTGAGGGGAGGGGTGGGGAGCACATGCTGTTGAACTGTACTGAACATAGTATCAATTATTCCTAACTTCTTCAAGCAAAATTGTAGCTATTCATATGTCTGATTTGCATTTCTTTATTTCTGGTATTTCATTTATTTTTCAGTTTTTACAATTTGATTTTTATGACTTTGATCAGTTAAGGACTCGGTTACTCCGAGTTTCACGTATTCATCACGATCATCAGTCTGACAAGATTTAAATCAGTATTCCTATTTGTGTAAAAAAAAAGAAATAAAAATAAGAACAAATACTTAGGAATACTGATTTAAATCTTGTCAGTCTGATGATTGCGATGAACGTGTGAAACTCGGAGTAACCGAGTCCCATTAACTTAACATATATTTCCCTCTACATCCGTATGAGCACTATTACAAACGGGACAGCCTTATGAAAGTCACATTGCTTCTGTAATCAATATTATTTGATAAGATTAATGGTATATTTGTGTTCAACAGTCATCCACCATTGAGTCAGACACTGAGTGGCAGTAAGCAGAACATCACTCCAACAAACAGTGTGCCCGAGAAACGAGGATCAAGAAGTTCCATGGGAAGTTTAGGAAAGAAAAATACAGGTACATCTCCAATGAAATTATTTCTAAATCACACRAAGAATAAACCTTACTGCATATATATTTATAGTGAGCTGTTTTAAGGATTATTCTGAATCTAGATGTGATTACCAGTCATCATACATACAAACGTTAATTGTAAAACAAGAGAATCGCTTAAAAAATGGATGTTAAATCATATTGCAATAACTGTATCATGCCATTGGCTGTTTATGGAACATAATGTAGTATAAGTAATCTAGTTCTTTAAAATAGCTTGTATAAGTGTATTGATTGTCGATACATGTAATCTATTTTTCAGAGTTTGATGATTATGCTGAAATTGTAGATGATGATGATTATGCAGACCCCATGGCAGGTCAGTATCCATGGTTACAAACTGTTAATACACTTCAATAAAAGTTTTGATTCRCAATGATTTTTGTTCAACATGTTGTGGCACTCATGTGAATTGTTTTGCTGAATATAAATACCATATTTTTAAAAATACACCTTATTTTTAAAAAGCTTTCTAAAAGAAAAGAATTTAAAAGAGTTTTGATTAAACAAAAATAAAATAACAGTTTGATTCTAACAGTCAAAACTCACCCAGTCTACAAGAGTGTAAATCACTAGTATTTCAATTTATCCTTTAACTTGTAAAATTAATGTTACATTTACTTATAWAATCACCTATCTAGGGCTGCCAATTAGTTTTATCTCTCAATCTTCTCATCAGCAAGACTCTGGTTGAGTATGCAGTGATAAGATTCCTTTTACACAGTCCTACCAAAAGTTAATTGCAGCTCAGTTATTTATATTTCCAATGTCAGCCATGATCTCGCTCTGAACATGGCTACCTTGAGGGGAACTWTATTAAAATATTTTCAATGGCAGCCCTATTTAGATTTAATTTATGCATGTTGCACTTACACTAGTACGTTTCTACAGCACTTCCCCTTCACAGTGTATGGTATCAAAAAGGTAAACAATTTAAACCTTACTAAATCTTTTTTTATTAAATATATAATAACTTGATTTTAACAGGATTATAAACATCTGACAATAATGTYCGTGCTGTGAAAAGTGCTATTTATTTAATGATATGAAACATTGAACCTAAGGCAGGAACTTTTAATACTAATTTTTTGTACTAATTCAATAAATTCTTGTTAAAATTATTAAAAACAAATTGTGATTGGAGGCAGCATAACTCAATCAGATAAAACTAACTTTTCATTTCAAGGTAAAGTAAAATAGTTGAATATAATATAATTTGATAATTGTGCTATATTTTCAAGTATTATTCATTTTAAAGTTTGTATATCTTATAAAATAAAGACGATACCACGTCACTCTAATTGGGTCTAGATAAAAAATGACAAAATTTAATCAAAACTGTAGTTGTAAAAGAAAGAAAAAAAGCTAACAGAAGCTAATTTGGAGAATTTTTAAACCTGTTTTATTATTCTTACTGTGAAGGTCTAACACTATTCCAAATGAYAGGAAGCAGTGGTTCTCTCTTTAGTAAAGGCAGTTGAATATTGTTTATTTTCTCTATGACAATACAGCCAAAGATTATGAAATCCCAAGGGATATGATAACTCTTGGACAAACTATAGGACATGGTCAGTTTGGTGATGTTCATCGCGGTACATACCAAACAGCTGTAAGTATYCAATTGTTGTCTTGTGTAATTAACGTTTTTTGGTAGTTGTGTCATCTTGTGCTTTATTTCTTTATTTTTATTACTTTAATTTCTTTGTTTCAGGCTGACACATCAGTTGCTGTTGCGATCAAAACTTGTAAAAGCCCTGAAAGTAGAGAGAAGTTTTTGGAAGAAGCTTGTAAGTTTTTCTATAAAATTTTKAAATTTGTGAACAAGTTGATGAAAAACAAAATTCAGGATCATTTKATTTCTCTCCTTTCAATGTTGTTGCATCCATGCATGCATTTTTATGAAACGGAAAGAAATTGTTTCCACTTTTCTTGTTCATGCAATTTTAAAAGGTTCTGTGTTGTCCATTTGTTATTTATTATATTTTATGCTCTTCTTTGCCATAGATATCATGAAGCAGTTTGACCACCCACATATTATAAAACTGATCGGTGTCTGCATGGATGAGAACTTCTTTATCGTTATGGAGCTTGCAACGTATGGTGAGGTAAGTACATGGTATTTTACCTATCTTAAATCCATTCAACCTTTGTTCACTGATTGTTTGTTAATTGTTTTAGATGAGGAGCTACCTGCAAAAGCACCATAATCAGATAAATCTTGAAACCTTGCTTAATTACATCTTTCAACTCAGTACTGCGTTGTCTTACTTAGAAAGTAAAAATTTTGTGCATCGGTAAGTATGGACGTTAACTTTTTCCATTGTTATCGTGCTGTACTTCACATCACGCTGAATTGTTTAGGTTTTATTGAAAGCTGTCAATTTTGTACATCGTAAGAATTGAAACAGTGTCTTTGATATTTATTATTTGGTAATAAAAACTGATAATTTGTGTCACATACATTTAAACAATCACAAGAAAACAATAATGGAAGTCTTCCAGGATGTTTTACATCGTAAAATAAGTGATTATCAATAGCAATCAGCTTGCCACAGTATAATTAACAGTTATTCGACGAAATCGAGTTGTAGATGAGCTGATAGCCTAGTAATATAGAAACCAATCAGAGCGCACACTTGCTTATATCTAGTGGTTGTGTGTATAATAGTCCGTGTTATTATCTCGTTTTATAACGGTGTACTGTCTCTACTAGCCTGCGTACATCCGGTTTATTTTCAAGTTTACGGGTAAACGCTGGATGAACTCAGGCTATGTCTCTACTCATAGAAATAATTCTAAATCAATAATTAGAGTTTATTCTTATCTAGTGACATTGCAGCAAGAAATGTACTTGTCTGTTCACATAAGTGTGTTAAACTGGCTGACTTTGGCCTTTCAAGATGGATAGAAGAACAGGCTTATTACAAAGGTAACCCAAGTTTACTATACATATTAATACCCGGCGATTCATTATCTTTGTGCTCCAATTTTGTTTGACTCTTATCTCTAATGAGCAATTTAAATGGAAGTTCTCCCAATTTTTATTATCACTTAAAAAAATAGACATTTTTTAGCATTACATGTATAACCATATTAACACCACTTCACTGCGTTTGGCTCCGTATTCCCATTTATTTAACCTGTCATTTTTTCACTAGCTTCAAAAGGCAAGTTACCCATCAAGTGGATGGCACCAGAGTCAATTAACTTTAGACGATTCACCTCTGCTAGTGATGCTTGGATGTTTGGTAAGAAAATACATCACAAGATTGAGCCTATTCGTTGTAAACTCCCTACACCCTACCTAATCAAAACCAACATTCTATCGTTCAAACACAATGATTTAGAGCTCTATTGTGTATGTACACATGACAAATAGTACAGTGTATATGATTCGAATATTTAGGTGGACAGAATAGTGTTTGAAGTCCGTCAGCTAGACTTGACGTTGATATCCCGATATTTCCATTTAGAAGGGGACCTTATGCCTTTGTACTCTGCGAACAGAGCTACTTTTCGTGTATAGTCTTTGCTATATATTCACAGTTACGGTTATGGCAAAATGTCTAATCTTTTTGTAGACATTACCTTAATGATTTCATGATACAAGACGACTTTCTTTTTGATTTTAAACATTTTCTTTTTGAGTTTGGAGATATTTCACTTGCTTAGTCCGTAAATCCGCGTGAAAACACAGGCTACCCACGTGATTGTTTTTTTTTTAATTCTGCTGATTTGTCATTATGTCAATTTGTAAAAAAAGCATATTGATTTTTTTGATGTTATTGTAGGTGTTTGTATTTGGGAGATATTAATGTGTGGAGTGAAGCCATTCCAAGGAGTAAAAAATAACGAAGTCATTGGTAAAATTGAACAAGGTGAACGTCTTGCTCTTCCACCAAACTGTCCTCCAGCTTTGTATCACATGATGACAGAATGTTGGTCTTATGAGCCGACAAAACGTCCTTCATTTCAAGATATCAAGACCAGGTTAAGGTAAGACTTTGGAAACATTTAGGGCAAAGTAACTAAGGCCCGATTCATACGTCGTACTCTCGTCGCGCCGAACCAAATAGTCAATTGGTGTCGACCCAAATACATTTGGTACGATGTTGATTCATACGTCGAACCAAATGCAGTCCGCAAAAGCATAAGAAAAGGTGCGATAACATGAAATTCACATCCATTATTATTGTCGAAAACAGATATTTTTGTGCATTAAGTTCGGCACGACTGTAGCTCGACGTATGAATCAGCGTCGAGCCTTTGCCGTGCAGCAACGACTGGTGCTGCCGTGACACTGACGTGCTTCAGTCGCGCGGAACTCAATTGATTCATACGTCGAGCTGTTCATTTGGTTCGGCGCGACGCTGGCTCGACGTATGAACCGGTCCTAACTATGTCCAAAGCAAACCAAGCTGAGTGGATGGTAATATGGATTGTTTTGGAGCTCTTGTTTATGACGTTATTGCCCATTTCTTTGTTTTCCTTATTTTTGGTATTGTTCCGCTTTTTGTCATTTTCTGGAGTTACACCTAAGGGGAATAAGACTGCATGGTGTTTCTTGAAAGTTAGATGTCCCAGTGCTTTGCTAGTGGACGTGGCAATCCCAAATGGCTTACCGATTCATTTTTCAGCTTTAAAAGTGTTTTTTTTTTTATCCCCTGATTGTCATTTTTAGTGTTATTGTCCAAGAAGAAAGATTCCAAGCAGAAGAGAGGATGAGAAGAGAATCAAGAAGAATAATTGCCATGTCAATCGGTATGTTGATAATTAACCTTTTATTTAGTCATAGGTTGAAAAATCACGAATGATGCTAGTCGACATTTCAATGCTTCTTCATCATAGTTAGGGTCCGAGCTAGACCTTGATAAGCCCTAATATTGAAAGCGTTTTCAAGGGCACTTGAAAAGTCGTGGAATACTTGAACCTGATTTTATATGTTCTTAAGGTTATATGAAATAGGTAAATTGAAAGAAAAGAAAACGTCGAGAAACATCAAACGATTTCTTGAAAAATACTCCTTAAATTTTATATGCTCAAAAAGTACTAATTTTCTAATTAAAATGTACCACAAATAAATTATGTTGGAATATAGTTTTACTGACCGTACCTTTTGATATATTTGTTTAGGTTCAGCTGATGGCATTGCTCCACCCAAAGTAAGTAAAGTGAAAATTACTCGCGCAATGCAAATAGACTTCTGAACATTTTACGTCACTGCTTGATTTTCAATGCATTGTGGGATCAATTTCAAGAGAAAACAAAAGAAATCCACCATGTTTTGTCCCAAACATGTCCTACAATGCATTGCGTATACGGTACATGACGTAAAAGCTGCAGAGGTCTATTATATGAAAAATAAATTGTTAACACAACAGCACAATGGAACGGCTTCAAATGCTTATAAAATATCAATTTAGTTAGTCAAAGATCATGTTGATTTATGTAGTGGCTTTTCGGCTAGATTTAAAAGAGCTTTTATCAATTACCCTCAAGTTATATTATGCTTGTATTCATGCATTACACAATAATGAACTGATCGTCGTTAAGTGCTTTCGTATTTTTATATACTTATAGTAAAGTATAGTATAAGTTATATCATTTGTGCTCGTGTTTATGGTTATTGATCTAGTGGTACATATCGTGGTTGCCATAGATTATTATAATATTGGATAACTTTCGTTATTTTATTATAGCCAATGCGACCGGGAATATCTCCTCTAGCCACACCTGTATCAACCGGGGCAACAACATTTGACAGCAGTCAAGGTCTTACCAGCCCTAGAGGTAAAATATCATCGATACAATAGTACAAATAGCAGCAAATCTTTACAAAACAGACTATAAGTGTAATATAGTGGTAATTTCACTGTATATCTAAAGTACTTGTAAGGTCACATGACCAGCCAACAAGCTGGTGTTCAAAGCTCTTAATGCGAACAACCGCTGTTTAAGTTGACAACAGCCTATCATGCGCAGAGAACAAAAGAAAAACGAAACTACTTTTGTCATTACACAATAGCCCCACAAATTTTTATTTTCTCCGATTGTATAGCTTCTGTGGGAAGGCTAAGCCTCAAATAGGAGAAGATTCAAATTTCTAGAGCCATTGTAATATCAACATTTCATTTTCCTGCTTCTTTTGTTCTCTATGCAAGTGAGTCTGTTGTCTCCTAAAACAGCGGTCGCTCGCATTTTAGGGTGGCAAGGGTGGTCTAGTGGTTAAGCTACTGGCCTCTCACCGCTGTGGTCCGGGTTCTGTAACGGGAGAAAATTCATCAAAATTGTTTAAGGACACAAATCAGTTATTTATTACACAAATTGGCAATAGTAGGAAATTGGCAAAACATTGTGTCACGATATTTACCTAGCAGGTTAAGTTAGAGTTTTTCTAAAAGACACCTGTTGCAAGTAATCTATAATTCACTATTTTAGTCACGATAGTAGGGATCGCTGATCTCAGCGTTAACTACCTGGAAACAAGCGTTAAGACCAGGAATCGAAANCATTTCTTGAAGAAAGCAGAATCGATAACTCTATCGAAGTGGACTCCGAGATCTCATTTAAGCCCATACACCAACCAGAACCAGAACAGTCTAGCGATACCGAGGACGACACTTCAAGTGAAGCCTCCTCCGACTTATTACGTGACGCACAACTGAGTTGGGACGACTCTAGTCACGCCGGTAAAATGGAACTACAGCAAGCAACAGAGGCCGGAACTAGTCCTCAAAATAACCAACCGTCTACGGCTTCCCCATCAAACGCCGCCGGAAGTACTCCAGCTGTAACCCTAGAGATGCTGATGCAACATTTAACGCAGCAGACTGCAAAGATGGATGAACAAAGGAGGGAGAATAAGGAAGATAATAAAGCGATGAGGGCTGAAGTTACCGAAAAAATGGACAAACAAAATCAAGATCTAAAAGACTTAGCCTTAAAATTGGACCGATCAATAGAATATTTCAAGAATACAAATAACGATGTCAAGAAGGAAGTTGAAGTTCCTATCTTCAATCAATCATCTGGAGACACTGAAGATAATCAAAAAGACAAGTTCAAACAATATCACAGTGAGGAGACTCTCCATCTCGTTGAAAGTGGTGCCACGCCCTGCAAATTAGCCAAAGGAACGGATACGGAATCGGGACAGAACCCAATACAGAAACCGAATGACCACACCCAAGAAGACGAGGACATCGAGAAGCAAGTTACAGTGTTAGAGGAAATCCTACACATAAGAACGGAGATTCTCGAAGTTCCTCCTACACAAGAACTACTTGAAGATGAGTGTAAAGAATACAATGTTATTGAAGAAGAACTCTTGCCAGAACACATGCATGATGTTAAGAAAACCGAAAAGCGTTCTATGGAAGTGTCCATAGATTACGATGTCCTGCAGGTCAACCACCAGGAGACCACTATGGGAGGTAGTCAATTTGGCATGGATCAAGAGTCGTATGTCTTTTTCCACTACTACCCCGTACCACAACGGCGAATAATCCTATTAAAGTCACACATGGCTATTGCACTTGTACAGAAGTTGCTTTGGCTAGAAAGACCATCACGCAATAAAAGAAGCCTCAACAAGGACGTACCGCGCTGTTCTAAATGGATTTTACAGAAAATCCTCGCAAGTTTGAAATACACTGGACCACCCCCGGAGAAAGGACCTCCACATAAAAAGAGCGAGAAGATCCCCACAAGAAGTGATAATCAATGGTCAATAATTCAAATTGGACTGGAAGCAGACTTTGAACTTCTAGATATATAGCTATCTAGTACCACAGTTCTTTATATTGCGACTCCCGGAGGCCTATGATTAGCCTTGACCGGTATTGGATACGGTTGCGTCCCGTGATAGCTACGCCGAAAGTGCTCAGTTTTTGCTTATTTCTTTTTTCGCAGCCAGGAGGCTTTGCTCTTAAGGTGAGGGTAATGTAACGGGAGAAAATTCATCAAAATTGTTTAAGGACACAAATCAATTATTTATTACACAAATTGGCAATAGTAGGAAATTGGCAAAACATTGTGTCACGATATTTACCTAGCAGGTTAAGTTAGAGTTTTTCTAAAAGACACCTGTTGCAAGTAATCTATAATTCACTATTTTAGTCACGATAGTAGGGATCGCTGATCTCAGCGTTAACTACCTGGAAA